GGCCTGAATATAAGACGACCCTGATTATAAGACGACCCCCCCCTTTTTCCAGATGTACCTTTTGGAAAAAGGCTTTTTAAAAACCACATCTTGTTTTTTCTCAGTAAAACACATTTTGTCTTCAATTATTTTCATATTGCATATTTTTCCTATTTTAATTTTTGTTTTGAAAGTATGGTAAAAACTGGTAAAATGTACCAACAATCACATTTTAAAAATATACACTTTTTGATATACCATAAAAAAAAAAAACATAGCCCATCTGAATTAGGACATTTAGGCTATCCATCTAATATTAGCCTACCAAAATCTTATTAACAGTCGAAGTTAAATCTTACTGTAGTCTTCAAATCTGGGTTCTGTCTTACGTTTTAAAATCACAAAGGGAGTTTGGTCCCATCAGGCTAACCTGACAGTCACGACTTGTGCAGCTGTGAGGTTTTCTTTTTCTTTTGTTTTTATTCGCGATCTTTACAACACGCATTACATTACGTATTTCATGGCACACTCGTTTTATGCGTATTTGGCGCCACCTAGTGTTGTGGGTGTATTATTGACATGTCAAAGTCTAGACCCTGAATATAAGACGACCGCGTTTTTTCAGATGTATTTCCAAGAAAAAAACATCGTCTTATATTCGGGTCAATACGGTAATTCTTTTATCCTTTCTACATTGTCACTGTTAATTATTAGGGCTGTCAATGGATTTAAAATATTTTTATATTTATTTAATTATATGATATATGCTGCTTGTGTTCTGTATTTCTCAACAAGTAAGCTAAATAAACAAACAAAAAAACATCATTATCATTAGTTCATCATTAGTTAATAAAGCTAATAAAATAATTTCAATTATTGAATAATTTAAAATTGCACCCGCATTTATTGACTAATAAAATACACCACCATTAAAAAAAAAGTCTAGGGTTGCCAAGATATTTTTGAAAAATGTCTCTTTTGCTCACCATGGCTGCATTTATTTAATGAAAAACACAGTACAAATAGTAAACGTTAACAATAATAATCATGAAATTTTATTGCAATGTAAAATAACTGTTCTATATTTGAAAATATTGTAAAATGTAATTTATTCCTGATGCAAAGCTGAATTTTCAGCATCATTACTCCAGTCTTCAGTGTCACATGATCTTCAGAAATCATTCTAATATGCTGATTTGCTGCTCAAGAAACATTTCTGATTAATACTAAATTTGAAAAGACTTTATTTTTGTGGAAACGGTGACACATTTTTTCTGGAATTGTCACTTTTGATTAATATAATGCAGCCTTGATGAATAAAAGCATTCTTTTTTTTTTTTATAATAATATATGAAATCAAATAAAGTAAATAAAGAATAAATAGACAGTCCTATTCGTTCTATTTAAAAATGAAGGGGTAGGGCAGTGAAGCTGCCATAATCAAATCAGATTCAGATGTTTGCAGCAAAAAATGAAGGTTTTGTTGACCTGTGGTTTGGGAACACTCTTTTTGATGCGGTTCAGGGTTTTGCGGTTGTAGCATTCACCACTCAGTCTGACCCTCACCGTCACTGAGTCCAGGGACTCCGCCGTAATCTGAGGGAAAGTGTGAAGAGCTTCCTGTGGAGCAGAAACACAAGGAAATTCAAAATGGTTGCGACAGGGTTCAAACAAGGTAAACACACCGTAGAACGTCCGTTAGCCAATCAGATTCAAGCATTCAACGCCCCCCCGTAGTATAAAATGCATTAATGAATATCAAGTAGACATTTAACTTAGTTTAAATTCTGTCCATAGTCTGAATTCTTTTCATATATTATATACTGTGAATGATGAAAAAAAATGTGAGAAACAAATCAACTAAGAAAAACAGATTATATGAAGTCCTTGAAAAAAAAAAAAGATGCTGGAAAAAAGAAAAGGTGCTTGAAAGTACTTGATTTTCAAAACGTGGTCACTCTTGCTAAGTAGGGCTGCAACAAACGATTATTTTGGTAATCGATTAATCGACCGATTGTTAGTACGATTAATCGACTAATCGTCGATTATTCCGCTGGTTAATCAGTAGACATTTTTTGATTATTCATCTTTTGCAATTAGTTAATATATTGAGTTATACATATTCTAACAAATGAATTAACGTAATCACTTCAGCTTTTGAAAGTCATATTATTTAATTACAATTAATTTATACAAATAAATATTTTGGCACACAAAATGAGAGAGAAATGAGCAGAGAAACACTTATGCACCATTTAATTAGCTATATGAGAAAGTAGCCGAATGACACATCATTCTGCCTAAAATCTCTTTTTGTAAGTCATATGGATAAGAAACAAAATAAAGGTTAAGTGATAAGACATTTTATTTTTGGATAAACTATTTTATTCACAACAATCTCTCTTAAAATACCTTATAGGGTTATGATAATCAAAACAGTCCTGAGCTAGATCAAGCTTTGATCTCTGCAAACCAAACTATAACTTTAATGAAACGTTTTTCCCCCACTAATAAAACTATTTTATCATTAGCTAGCTCCACACTGGAGAGCTGCGTTATAACAGAAAATCAAGTTGTAATTCTAACTGAAAGCGACACTGACTCTGGTTTTTCATGTTTAATACTGTAAAGCTGCTTGATTTAAGGCTATCTATTGCATAAAGTACTATATAAATAAACGTGACGTGACTGGACTTTACTGGAGTACCAAACTGCAGAGCTCGTGCAAACATCCACATCGCTGTAATCAGATGCATTTTAAAATCTCACAAATTTTTGCTCACTCACTGTATTTAAATAAAGAAATTAATAATGATAGCACAAATAAAAAATAACGACAGGCCTTCGAATTAAATAAATTGCTTTTTAGTTTTTCAGGTAGGTCTAACAGTAGGGTTAAGATATTTAAAAAAATTTTTTTTTTTTTTACCAATTATCCAAATAATGTTTAGTCCTAGAAAGCTGTTATTATCAGAACACGTGAACATAACATAGCGGTTAGCAGATCAATGAATGAGAGGGCAGCGTTACCAGAGTTGCCCATATACCACACCATGTTACAACACAGTAGGGCTATTGCAGACAGAAACAATACTGTACTACATCGATGTTTCCTGTAGGCTCGATTTTTGAGTGGACTTTGCTGTTTCATGAGCATGAACGGTAGAGCCCTGTATTTCAGCCCGGGCCCAACGGGCCCTGACTTTTTTACGGCCCTTGGGCCGGGCTTCGGGACAATTTTCACGTCAGACGCGGGCCGGACCTCGGGCCTGTTTTAGGCTTCTCCTTATTTTTATATTTTAGACATCCATCAATTAGTGATGAAAAAAATTGCTGCACTGGTGGACACAACACGAGACCGTGCTGCCGCGACTGTAAAGATCTACGGTGATCTACGGCTCGACGGTTTTTATTGTCCCACCAGCAGCAGCAGCATGGTGCATGCCGTCAGCGCAGCTGAACAGTTCTGCGTTCAAATGCACGCAATAGGCTTAAGTTTGCCGCAAAGCACCGGCAAAAGTAATTACCATTTATACGTTTGAACTGTTTTATATCTATAAATTTTATTTTAGGCAAGTCGTGATGATAAATTGATCAAACATAGGCTCACTGTCTGCCATTGGCGGCTTGGTCGTTACTTTAAAAAACAAAAACTTATATTTAATGAACAAAAAAATGCTCCAAATGTTTTTCTAAATGAACTTAATAAAAAAAACGAAACGAAATATAATAACTTTGCCATTACATACAAAACTGAACTATTTTAATAGCTGAAACAGTAGTATAAGCTGTTTTAGGAGAAGGGGGAAAAAAGACGGGCTCGGGCCGGTAATTCTTATAAGCTGTCAGACACGGGCCGGGCTAGGGCCTGAGCGTCTCGGGCACCAGCATCTCCACGTAGCTCCGGTACATCTCACGCATTGCTCGTGTGTTCAGGCCCGCTTTCACTGAGACTGCTGGACAGACACACATCAAGTTACATTCACAACAACCCACCATCTTAACTGTACACTGCCTACTTAATTTAAGTCATTTTGCATTCGAATTGCACAAAAACCAGTCACATTTCACCTGAAAATCCAAAGAAAAAAGATTTTATATTCAAGCATATATTTAAGACAAAAAAAGTAAAATTGTACATTTTTTAGACAATATTTTCATGACAATTATGCCTTCAACAATTCCTCCAACAAAGTTTTGATTACAGTAATGAACATACAAGTTTTCATTTATTTAGTTAAAATATATTATCTCCATTATTCTTGATGTTTCTTAGAAAAAAAATGGATGTAATGCAATTTTTAAATGTTTTATTAATATCTGCAGACATTAAGAGCAAAAAATAAAATCTAGGTGAAATTATTTATAATAATTAAATTTTCAGATTATGAAAATAAGAATAACTTTACAGTACAGTAATGAGAAAGTCGAGCAAATTATGTCACAATGCAAAAAATCTGGTACAAATTATTTTAAAAAAAAATTTTTTTTTAGGGGCTTTTAATTTTATGTATGGTAATATAACATATGGTAATATGTATGGTTATAATTTTGTATGTTGTTTTAATGTAAATGGACTACGAGTTGAACTGAACTGAGCTTTTCTTTTCTATGCAAAACATAATTTCCTTTTTTTTCTTTTTAATTTCTGGGTAAAATATAATAAATTAATAAATGTGATGGTTTTCTGTCAATTTGTCACAAATGCATGCCATTAGTGGTCGACCGATATTGTTTTTTGACAGCCGATGCCGATATCTTGGAAAGCAGGGTGGCCGATGGCCGATATAAAGCGGATATAATTTTATTTAATATTTAAGAAATTTGAAATAATTTGAAAATGGATTAAAAAATGGATTATAAATGTGTAAAATAAACATGCTTATACTTTAAATGACAAAGTATTTTTCACAAATAAATAAATATTTAATAAAAATCTAATTAAAAAGGATGTAAACACTGTAACCAACAGGTCACTCAGTATTCTGGGAAGTTTGTGTGCATTGGGAATCACATTTTTTCAAATAAAGCCAAGGTAACACTCATTTTACATACAGCACACAGTGAAAATGACATGAATATGACATTGGGCAAAAGCATGAAGCGCAGCATAATTTGAAATCACGAGTTTAAAGTTTGTCGATCGCGTGTCTCAGTGAAGCCGGACTCTCCTCCTGTCCATATTCAATTCACACGGACCGACCGTCATGCAGAGTACACGCGATCATGCAGGAATACAAATGCACACTTCACAAGATCTCACAGCTGGATTCGACTAAGTTTGCAAGGTTTTTGAAATTAGATGTTCATTAGTCATTCAAAGATTTGTTTAAATGATATAAATGTGTATTTGCTGAACGCTGACCGCAAACGAGAAAGTATTATAATGTTTGCCTTTCTATTACTAACAACATAAAAGCAATCATTATAATACTTTTTTGCATACATTTTAATTCCTTTGTTTAAAGTCCCCCTGTGGTCAAATATATTATCCCTTAAAACTTATCTTTGATAATCAAAATGACATATTTAAATGTTTTTTTCTTGTGAAAATTTTCTCATTTTCCCTTAAAATAGCTTGAATGTAACGCTACACCCTTGCCTCATTTACTATACGCGAATCTATGAATATGCAAATTAGTCCCGCCTCCACTCAGTCACACCAGCCAGCGCTTCCTGATCCACTGAACTGTAGTAAACACAAAACAATGGCATACACGGATAATGACTGATAAAACTATGTTTTTAATAGCGGACAACTACAGTGAATACTTTAACATTCATTAAAGTTACTTACTTGATGTTGTGTCCTAAAATGCCTTGAAGACTCGAATGCAGCCGTTTGTGATTGTTAATTCGCGCCCGCGAGCATACGCGTGTGAAGTGCAGACGCCGATGCGGGAGAGGTGGGTCTGACTCCGGGCTACTTTTACACTGTTGCCACGGGTTATAATGCAAGTTAGCGGTTCTAAATTCATATTAAACCACGGCTTCAAGGGTTTTTTTGCTCTAATTTATTTTTGGTTTTGTGCTGGTATTGGTATATTTTGCATGCTAGTGATAGGAATCTATCCCTTGACGTGATTGGTTATTGGTTTGTGACGTAGCAAACCGAGGGCTGTTTCAAACCATATTTCTGGGTCAGCCTTTGGGAAACTACAGTTTTAAGGAGAAAATACTCAGCAATGGTGTTGATTAATGGATTGGCACATGGTTTGTCTAAAAGCATATTAAAACACCACATAGACAAATAAACAACATAAAAAACTTGATTTTCACTACAGGGGGACGCGCCGTCAAAATAAAAGTCCACGAACCACAAAACGCATCGGCCAAGCAGAAAAACGTATCGGCCGGTGCTGATATTTAAAAAATGCCAAATATCGGCGATATATCGGTCGACCACTACATGCCACACACGTTAAAAGTATACTCACTTTCATCCTCACTTGCTGAGGAGTCCGAGTCTGAGGACGAGGGTACCTCCTTCAGCCACATCCTGCGTTTCTTGGGCGGAGGATCAGCCTTCACCTTTGGCGGCTGAGGTTTGGCAGAGCGTTCAGTCTTCTTCTCCTTCACCTTCCCTCGTTCTGTCACCGCTGCCCGTTTCTCAGACTTCTGAGGTGGCGGAGGAGGAGGTGAGGCTTTCTTCTCTTTTTCTTTCTCTTTCTTTTCTTCCTTCTCCTTGGTTTTAA